AAGAAATTCTTGGGTATATATATATGTAAATGTAATAGACGAAGAAAGCATTGCAAGAGAGAAAATACAACGCAATAACGTTATTGCACAATACCATTACTCATAAAAAAAATAGAAGTCTTTCTTTTTTTTGTTCTCGTTCTTTCGTGAATCTTATTTCTATAACATGGACGCCGGAAAAGAAAAAGAGATATTTACAAAAAAAAAATATATATATATATATTGAATCGATTTTATTTTTCTCTTATTAACAAATAAAATATTACTATTGGTTAGATGATTACACAGAAAAGAAAAAATGTTGTCATTGTGAAATAACCCAACCTAAATTTTTGACGTCATTACTTCTGATGCAATAGAGTGCATCATGGAAAACGAAGAAGTATATTGTTAATATGATAAGATAAATTTGTAAAATGAAAAAGAAAAAATTATTGAATGTATAATCATGCAAAAACTAAACAATGAATATTTTATAATTTCATAGTAATTCTTATCAAACTAAATTTTATTTCGACTAAATATTGATTATGTAAACATTGACATTTATCGTTTATTTCACAATACTATTTTACATACATGTACATAGATGTTTTCATAGGTGTACATTTGTTTCTTCCCACAAAATGATCTTGAATGTATTTTGTTAAATTGTAGGCATCCTATACATCTTATTAAACTTAAATCAAATCAAGAGAATATGCATTGATCGATAAACAACTCTTTTCTTTGTTTTTTTTTTATTTTCATTTGAAAATTTCTCAGTTTAATGTTATAAAATAAAATGAATTTACCAATTGAACCAACAAAAACACAACTTTCATCTAATTTAACAACATCTCGTTCAAAATCTAATAGTATTTCATCATCATCTGCAATAAAAATTCGTCCATGGATACGTCAAGTTGATAAACATATTTGGCGTGCTATTGATTTTTTACATATTATTATTATGTTCTTTTCATTTTATACAGCTATTATTATTGCCATCTTACGAAATGAATTACTTGAACAGTAAGCTCACATATTCAAGGTTTCATTATAAATCTCTTTGTGTATGTATGCTTTTTTTTTACGTCATTAGATGTCCATTGTATGCTAAACTTTATCTTCTTGATAATGCAACACATTTTTCTACCGAAACAATCGATCGACAAACTGTATGGGGTGATGTTTATACATGTGAATTTGCATCGTTTGCTTATCTTTCTGCATTTGTTCTTTCATTTATTTCACTTTGGATTCATATTGCTTTTCGACGAGTTGTTCGAACAGAACGTTTATTACGTTTACCTATTGGATTATGTATATTAATATTTGCTTTAATAACACTTATTGCAACAGCAATTGTTACTGATGGTGTTATTAAATTTTGTTTAAATAGTCAAACAAATATTTGTTCATCAACAGGTGCAACAATATTTAGTCGATCAAGATGGAAAATTCTTAGTTTACCTGTTGGTATGATTGAAATTCTTTTATTTTTTCTTGAAAGTTTATTAATAGTATATGAAAAAAAAATTTTTTGCTTTTTCAATATTCTAGGTGGATGGTTAACAACTTTATCTATACTATTAAATGTATTTGTTCGTGGAATTCAACTTTTTTCTAAACCAAAAAAATCACCTGAAACATTGAAATTACTTCTTAATCAATTAATGGCACATCGACATCAACTTAAAAATGAAAAAGAGACTAGTGAACATGAATCTCAAATTTCACGACAATCAACAGATAGAAGTCGTTCACAGGTAAATTTAGAATTTTCTTTAAAAATTTTATTACCGAGTTTTTAGTCTTTACATCGATATCCTCCAATGAATTATACTTATAATCGAGAATTTTCTCCTGAACTTTATCCATATTATTATCCTTCAATTCCTCAATATCGTCAAATAGAAAAACGTTCACGATTTCAACGTATATGTTGTCCATGTTTTCATCGTTGTTGTCGTCGTCGTTCTCGTCCTCGTCCTCGTCCTCGTCCTCGTCATCAATCTTTTCATGAATCATATCGACCATTTACTATTCCAGAAGAATATTTTCATCGTTTAAATCATCTTAAACAAAATGGAACAGTTCCAACAAATTTATGTTATCGTCATTCAATGTATTATCCTGTTGAACAACAAACACAAACAGATTTAATTTCAGAACGAAAAAGTATGGATGAAACAAGTGAAATACCATTTATAGGACGACGTCGAAGTTCAGTTCGATTTGAAGATGAAATACCATTAGTTAAAATTCCTGATGAATCATCAACATCATCAAAAATTGAAACTAGTTCCATTAAGAATGAAGAAAATGAAGAAACAATAAATCCAATAATATCTGATAATCATCTTGAACGAAATGTATCATTTCGTAATAATGAAGATGATCTTTGGACAACTATTACAATTAATACAGAACAATCTGTACCTATTCAATCAAGTCATTTCAATAGAGTATCTTTAGAAAATTTATCTATTGTTGATACATCTATGTCAAATTGTAATAATTGTATCACTTCTATTCATATTAATAGCAAACCTTCTGAATCAATATCATCTGAAAGTGTTGAACAAGATATTATATCTCCATCTGAACCATATTTAAAAGCAAAACAACATCGTTCTCCAATAATAAATCGTTATAAATCACTTCCATCATCTTCTTCACGATCTGATACACCATCAAGTGAAGATGATATTGATTTACATAATATAAAACCTGTTGAAGAAATTCATGCTATTGTAACAGATAAATATAATTATAATAATCTATCACAAGCATTAAAATCTAATGTTGAACGTTTAAAAAATACTTTTACTCATGTTCAAGAAAATCAATCTCATTATGATAAACCAAAAAATATTCGTACAACATTATCATCAAAATCTTTTCAAAATTCTAATATTAAAAATCATTCGAGTGATTGTTAATACTAATACAATATGTTTTCTTTTTGAAGTCTCATCAATCAAGACTAATTTAAGTTGATCATCTAGAGACTTGCTTATATCTATATAGTTATGTATGCTTTCAATAAATATGTCTTATATATTAATAATAACCTGCTGTCTTATCAATGAACAGAGCTCAGATGTCATATGTCATTACTGATTTGCATGTTTATGTATTTCTTTTTCCCTGTCTTTTCTTCATCATGTCAATATGCGCATTACTCATGATTATTATTAATGGTGACTTTAACTTGAATTATCTGTTGTTCTTTGATTATAAGAATGTTCATTTTTTTTTGTCATAAAACTCTTTATGCTAAGAGACATTTTGATGACTTTAATATAGATATAGAACATTATTTCTGTGTTCTGTTTTTTTTTGTTCTTTTAATAGCAAAATATTTTTCTTCGTAATGTCAATGAATCGAAAGGGTCAAATAGACTAAACAATGAGAATTTTTTTTTTTTGACGATTACTTTTTCCTATTAGCATTAAATAGACATCGATTTTGTTCCGTCTTTCTTTTCAATGTATTTTGTCATCGACTATTCGATTATCATCACCATACGACTGATGGCACACATACAAAAGAAAAATTACTACTTACATGGATATAGCATTGACGATCGTATGATGTCATCATGCTGTAGGCGACATATAAAAACAAAAAAGAAGAATAGAAAAAATTCGAGAAAGCATTTTGTAGTTAGATTAAAATCGGTCTGTTGTTTTTTATTGTTCAGAAATATGTATATGAAGAACGTTAATGTTATTGTAGTATCCAATATAATAATTAACTATTTGATGCGTATATTTATGTTTATAAAGAATGTTTGTGCATATATTGTATTCTTTTTTCTATCGACAAGACTTATTGTTTTGGTAAATTTCCGATTATTAGTAGGGTGTAATCAAGTGAAACAAACAGACAATAAGATCATAGAAGATTGTATATATCATCTTATAAAATTAGAAGAAAAGTATGCTCTCAGAACTCTTACTATAAGATTTACAAGAAATTTTATATTACGGTAAGAATTTCTATGAATCTTATAGGATAATTTTGATCTGATTAAGTATATTGATCGTGTACTGTTCAAATCTTGAAAATTTCATGATCAACAACAATCATCTCGACTGATGATAAACATAACAGTAAAAATAAAACTCACTCAAATATGCTAATCATCATGTCATATATATGCTTGAATACATCTATATTCTGGAAAATAAATGTTCTAATTTATTATTATTATTAGTTTCTGAAAAAAAAAGAAACTCATAAAGTTGATATTCATATTTTGTGACAATACATAAATATGGTTCAATTGACTTTTTTGACACTAGCTTTTTTTTTGTTGCACTAAATCTTTGACTGTTTTTATATTCCCTGAAGACCGTTCTGTGAATTTACTAATCTACAAATGTCTCTCATGGCAGTTACGATCTATTTAATTTCATATGGACTCGTTTAATCTAATTCCTTTTTTTGAGTGCAAAAGGTATAAAAAGAAAAAGAATTTTTTATTTCCTGATAGTGCAAATTCTGTTAACGTTGATATGAATAAATTGTTAATTGTTACATTTGTCTATGTAATTAATGAAAATGAAAAAAAAAGAAAGCAATATATATATATATAAATATATATATATCGTAATTTCTTCTTTGTTTTTGTTTGGTATGCTGCAGGCATGTAACCAGTTATAACTTATTTATAATAAAAAAAGAAAAACTTCTGAAGACTAAAAAAATGTCTCAAACGTCGTTTTCTATCTTCTCAACTGCCAGTTTTTCTTACAACTCAAGGATTGCTTGTCAGTTTGTTCGTTCTCGTCGTCTCTATTTTCTTTTTTTTTTCCTCTAATGAATCACTTTCTGTGAGTGCACGAATGTGCGCTGATCTCGAGACTTGCTTCCCTCATTCTTTGTTCGTGTTTTTCCGCTAGGATAAATCGTTATTAATACTAGATGATGAAGAGAGAGAACTATAACACGGCATAGTTGTTTAGGGATTTTGTAGTATCCAGGACTTACTATTCTTTGTCAGAAACAATGAATCCAACTTATCTTTTATTGAAACTTCGGCAAAATAGAGAATAATAAACCGAGAAGAAAAGTCTCTGACTTTGCTTTTCCGATCTCATTGTATATAAAATGCAGAGTTTTTTTCATGCATACAAAAGGAAGATACACATTATCTTATTTTGTCGTATATTCCTATTTCACATCAAAAGTATGAATCAGGTGTTTTCATGTTTTTCTACGCATTTATCTTTGGTCAATACAAACAAGTTGTTGTTTTTTTTTATACCCTTGATAATACATAAAACGAGCTGTTTATTTAAGAAACATTTTTTTTTTGTTAATTGAGAGAGAATGATAATCATAGAGCTGTCACAGAGGAAAAAAATAGTTAACTAAATTACACGTTGTCGTGTCATACGATTGATTTCTTTTTTGTCTTAAATGTATTTTGCAGTCAGTTTGAAGTAAAAAATAAAAAAAAAAAAGACGAGCAGAAGAAAAGTTTTTTCTCTTGTAATTTTTTCTTTTCTTTCTTTTTTTTTCTCTTAACAAGAGATCTGTTGCGACATAGCTTGTTAGTCTTAGGTCAAGCGATACTTTGTCTCTATCATCTTTATTCAAGCAGAAAAAAAAATAGAAGCATACATGACTGCGTTCTTAATTAACTTTCATTGAACATAAAATACATGTACATATTTTAGTTCTTTTATTTGTTTTTTTCTTTTTTTTAACAAGAATTCATGTATACCAATGACGATTGATGCCTCCTCTCAATTGTTCAGTCGAACTCAATATAATCGATTCAAATACTGTTTCGATTAAATATATTGTTGGTGGATGGCTTACATTAATCTTTTCTATATTTGGTAAGATTAATGCAAAAAAAACAAAAATCATTTTTAAGAAAACATATATATATCTATATTTTAAGGTATTATTACCAATATTTTTACTGTTATTGTTTTACTTCATCCACGTATGAGAAACAGTTCAACACATGTCTATTTAATGGCATTATCTGTATGCAATATTTTCCTTTTAATTGGTCTTGTGATTAATTATTCAGTTAAATCAATTGGTAAGTCGATTTTATTAACACACGAATATGTCAAGGTGTTTTCTAAGATATATATATATATATCAGTCCATTTAGTAAATGTCATACTTCGTTTAGTACTGTAAAAGTGATTGCATGACATTAATTTGATCAATGTAAGACACGTAAACAGCTGGGTATATCCGATTTATTATAAAGTGCATCTCTATATTATTAAGCCTAAAACTCGAACGCAGATAAAATCTCCATGGAAAATATAAGAAATATGCAAACAATTATTTCAAGAATTTTCTAATATTGACAATAAAAGTCATACACTAAAAGGGCTTTTTATAAAAAAAAACACATTTTCTCGGAATGCAAATATAGAATACAATGTCAATACTTCAATAATGAGAAAAAAAATTCTATTGGTCACCAATTATATCGGTCTATTGATCCTTTTTAGTTCTGTCTATAACATCATAAGATTTCTTCATTTTGTAAGATAATTCACCCAAAAGCAAAAGAATATCTCATCAGTTCCATTATTTGAATGTTAATTAAACTTTAAATAATAATTAAAAATGTTTTTTGTTTTGTTTGTAATGTCTTCATTAAAAAAAAATATTTTCTATAGAATAATATATATATGCATAGTATTCTTTCGTATTAAATGAGTATGTTATGTTCTCGACATATGCTGTCGTCTTCTCAATGCAAACGATATAAGTTTTTTAATAATTAATGATTTCTATCAAAGAATTAAATTTACATCTGATTTTTTTATGTGGCTAAGAAAAGAAGTTATCGAATTTTTCTTTTGCTTATTCATTATTCCATTAACTAAAAATCAACAAAGAAAACAAATATAAAAATTTTTTAAATTATTTATTTCTAGCTTCCTATCCAGAATTATTAGTTTATTTACGTCAACCCGATACTAAAAATCGAAATGCTATATTAGCTAATAGTTATGAACAATTCTATGCTTATGCTGCACCATTTACAACACCATTACTCTCTATGCTTTTACTTTGTAGTACTTATTTAACAGTACTTCTTAGTGGTGATCGATATTTTCTTATATGTTGGCCATTAATAGCTGGAAAAATTCGTACACATAATATGTCATTACGTTTAGTTTTACTTGTTTTTATACTTGTTAATCTTTATATATTACCACATTGGTTTGAATATCGTACTGAAACACGAATAATAGAAAAATTCACATCAAATGGAAATATAACAATTAATAATAATGAATATGATAAACTTGTAGAATTAACATATACACGTCTTGGTTCAAATACAATATATTTATCAATATATCGTTTTTATTTAAATGTTCCAATAACATTTGTTATACCATTTACATTATTAACATTATGTAATGGTAGTATGATTCATCAATTATTATTAATAAAAAAGAAAAAAAAACGTTTGGGTCAACGTATGAAAGCTGATATACGTATAACAATAATGTTAATTATTATTGTATTAACATTTATGTTATGTCGTTCAATAAATTTATTTGTTAATTTACTTGTACAATTATCACCATGTTTAAATAAAAATTCTTTACAACGTTTTAATACATTTGCTAATTTATTAATTGCATTTAATGGTTTTATTAATTTTTTTTTATTTGCTGCATTTGGTCAACGTTTTCGTGAAATGGTTTTATATATATTTTTTCGTCATGGACAATATCCATTTCGTTATAATATGGATGGAGCAAGTACACATCGTTTTGCTTTAATGAATGCAACACCACAAGTCGATTCTATTCGACAACAATCTAGACCTTTAGCAGGTTCAAAAATTGATCTATGGAAAACTATATCACGTCGACGTTCATCAGCAACTATGGTTACTTCATATAATCCATTAGATAATCAAACAAGACTAACATC